ACATTCCTGCAACTACAGTTTGAGCTTGCTTTTTGTTTAATCTAGGCATGAGCAAGGAGAGCCGGGCCAGCCCGCCGTCGAGGCCTACCAGAGCAGTAATCGGTTGGTTTCACAACAAGTCTATGGGAGGTCCATCACATGGGGACAGGAAGGGGCTTCCCGCTAATCCCGCTAATTGGCATGAATCCCCCCATCAAATCTACGACAGTGAGCTTATTGCATGCCAATTTGCATGTATTTGGCTTGAAATATGAGTGTAACATCCTCCATTTCCAACACTGCCTATTAAAGCCCGCGTCTCATATTTCACAACTCTCGACCAAGTGTAATACGGTTGATATCCAGTAACCGACCTTCCGTCGCCAAACTACACCTGCGCTTTGTACAGGGTTGGGGGTGGTTGGGAACATGCAAAATGACTAGCAACAGTGTTGTAAACCGAGCTGCCAAACCCAACCTTCGAATCAAGACCACTGCTGGTGACTGGAAATGCACCTGACGATGATGAACGACATGTCTTTGATGATGGCGTGGGACACCAAAACTCACAACAAACTTCTACCGGAGGCAGGCCAAGCATAGTACAGAGCTCCCATGAAATTAGAGACAGGTTATCCGTAACTTTGAAAGCTCAACGTCCACCAAGCAAAGCAAGGGTAGGACGCTTGACCAGCGCCACCATTCATATCCTCTCGTTATAAACAAAGCGAGCGCCTTGTCCGCAAAAAAGCCGACTTCGTAAAAACCAAAGCGGGTGGTCGATACGAGCCAGTCTGAGATAGTGTTATGCGTGTCAAGAGACGACATTGTCGCCCGCAGCCTGTAGTAGAGCAAGCCCAATGCGCCCTCTAGCGAATAATATCCGCCACCAGACGGCAAGTACTGCGGTGACAGGCTCATTGCCGTGAGAGGTGAGCACGGGAGTATATCAAAACCGTGACAGTACAATAGCAAGCAATTCAAATGGGCAATAATAAGTGCTCCCACGGCTTATGAGATAAACTCCCACGGCCTTTTCAAGCTCCGCTTCCACTTCGCCCCCTCCCCCTCCCTGCCCCCTCCCCTCCCTGCCCCTCCCCTCCCCCCCCCCCCCCCCCCCCCCCCCCCCCCCCCCCCCACCAAGTACTCTATCTCTCTGTTTTCTTGGATGAAACAACCATTAGGTCTCTGAGTTACAACTATTTTTCTGGGTCTATTCCATCGACCATCGGCAACATGAGAAGACTTACATACCTGTCAGTATCAAGTGAATCTGGTTACAATTCGCATTAGATTTTGTGTCAAACACCCCCGTATCAGGCCTTGACATGGCAGGTCCTCAACACAGTAAACCAGCTGTGATCCAAATGGTTGCCTGATGTTTGTAAAAGGCAAGGGGTGCCCACTGATTCAGTTGGAGTTGGGATCTCCCAACCAAATCTGCGACAATAAGCATCTTGCATGCCAACCGAGTGGACATGGCTCCAAACACGCCTGTTTTGGGGCCATGGCATGGCAGACACAGTACATGACCTCCTTGCAGCAAGCCAGCCGTGGTCCAATGCCCAAAGTCCTACTCGATAGGTAAGAAGGCCAAAGTTGGTTTGGCCCTAATGCAAAAGGGCTGGCCCTTGCCTGATTCTATGCTTACATCTCATTCTCACACAGTCATGGTCGGATTGTGGTTTCTCAAACCGTACGGCTGTACATTTGTTGCTTGCTACTTCACTATAACTTATCATCGGACAAGAACATTGCTCTAGTCTCGGAAGTTTGTACCTTCTTCCTGCCAAAGATATTTTTGGCCTGAAGTTCACCGATCCATTTTCTACAGTGACTTTGTAAAGATTTTTGTTCGATATTGTGTTTTTTAACTGAAGGAAATGAGCCTGTAATGAATGTGCGCGTGCAATGGGTGCACGCAAAGCAGTGCTGTATCGACCCTAGGGTCAATGCTCAACCCTAGGCCTAAAGTCGGGTCGGGTCGGATACACCCGGCCTGGTTAAATCGAATGCCCATGCCTAGTTTTATGGCAACCTTCTCATGTGCTTTGTTGTATTTAGTTTTTATTTCCAACAATAACAACATTTAGTGGTTCTGTTTGTTGTATTTAGTTTTTCTTCCCAACAATAACAACCTTTTGCATGCTGTACCATCAGAGATCTCACCGTCAACGATTTGAGTGGGTCTATTCCATCCACCATCGTCAACATGAGCAACCTCGTTAAGTTGTGAGTACCACCAAAGTAACAAGAAACAGGGCCTACATGACCTCGCCAAGGTTTAGAAATAAGAGGACATACTATGGTGACACTAAGCCAACTTGAATTGAGGTAGCAAATATATAATACACCAAGGGCCGGACTTGGACTTCCTCGGTTCAACCTATTTACAGCCTTACGGATATCCTAGGTTGAGTCCAAGATGTGTCTTTTGCCTGTCCAGAAAATATCTCAGTTAACCTCTTTGTGCTTCCTTCAACTGTTTTTGCCCCCTCATTCTTGAAATCTCCGCCACAACTCCTGCCACGATTCATGCCTTTTCCATCTCCCTTTCTGACTGTCTTCTACTTTCTACTAATATCTGGATCGTTCCTTCGTGTTTTCTTCTTTGTACATGTGAAACCTATTACATCTTGTTAGCAATGCTTTGGAAATGTCTGTTCTGTCTATTATCGGTCATCTCCATATCCATTGCAGTTCCGTCAGCAAGAACAACATGACTGGCCAACTCCCTCCAACAATAGGCATTCTCACCCGTCTTTCACATCTGTAAGGCATTTTAGCATGTTCAATTGTTGCAATGACTATCGCAGTAATCTTGAAGCGTTTCATGAAGAGAAGGTATACAAGATGTTTTCGTGGTGTACCATAGCCAAAGTTTTATTGCAGCCATAGGTAGGAAAAATACAATGACCAAACTTGGACCGGCAAAGCTCAATATTCCACGTCAGGACGTTCTTCCATGTATGGTTTATCAGCTTTTTCAGCCTGTAAAACATCTTGGCATAGGAGAGTATCGCATTGTGTTCCCATACATGTCCAATAGCAGCCTCAAAGCGTTAACTTAAAGCTGAAACTCGTTTCTGATTCATAGTTTGAGAACGCTCCATGTGTACATGCAGGAATATATATTCGACTGCAATCACATGCCCTACTGACTACAGCAGCTGCGTTGTCCCACAGACCAATTCAAGTGCTTTCTGCAGGCGTTGTGGCTCCTTCTGCTCCACATGTGATAAGCCACCATCGGGTTAGACACTCCTTGCGCAAGTGGCTGCAATTTGTATTGCCTATTATTACTTTGAACACACTAGTGCTGAGTGCATTAGCATTTCTTTGCCACCTACAGAAGAAGCATTTCCAATGCCAGGCATCCGCAGCCTAGTTACTCCTCATAATAAGAATTGTTGCACTTCTATTGCATGCTTTCTCATGGCTTCCAAGGAAGATTACCTGTTTCAACACTTCAGTGTCTTCCTTTGCTTCCTCTCCCTGTGCAAAATATGCCTGATGCCACATCTGCCGTCGTCCCCATATCTAACAGCCTTTTCCCTTCCTTCCTTATCTATGTCTTCCTACCCCATGTTTGTACCCTCCCCATCGCCAGTGCCACCCTCTCCACCTCCGTCCTCTCCCTCCCAGTCTGGAGGCGATTTATCCAACGGAGCCATTGTTGGCATTTCTGTTGCTGGCTGTGTGGCTGTCCTCATGCTGTTGATGCTGAGCTGGCTGCTGTGCACACGATGCCGCACCAAAGGGGAAGCAGGAGGAGACGATACCAGCACCAATGTGGATGGCAAGAAATCAGTAGATAAAGTTTTTTCTCAAGGTGAGATTATTCGTAGACTCCTAGGCTAGATGAAGCAATCAGAAGGCAAGAGATTGAAATAATAGTTTAGCATCATCAAAACCTAAAGAACACTAACACAACTGTAAAAGCAAATCCATGGGCGCTTTCTTACCAGCCCAGGTCATTGCAGATGCGTGTTGGTTGGGCCTGACCCATGGGTTTTGGTTGGAGTCTTCGAGTTGCCGTCCCGAATGTTATACTTGGGGTGTGGCGCATTATCCCATACCTGCTGCTGGTGCCCCACAGACGTGTCTTTTTGGTATTCCATTGTCTTTTGACTGTAAATCTGTGTGAAATAGGCGTGAGGAAGACGAGACCAAATTGGTTTAATGTGTATTTTCATCTCCACTTGAACGGGTGCGAGGTCAAAGCTAAATGGTCCAGGTCAAACTGATTCATGAATTGCCTGGCTCGGAATATCGGGTCTGGGTCAGACCTAGCAGGTTCCGTTCAAGGGGGAAAGGTACAATTTTAGGCAAGAGTTTTGGTCCAGGGTCGGCAAAATTGTTCGCCACGGATGGGACTGAATTTGTACCCTCGTAGCAATTCCTCTAGCCTTATCCTTCACTTGACACAATTCGTCCAATGAAGCCATTGGTGCTTGGTGGTCCTTCCTGGGTCTTCTCTTTTTCTTCTCCATTCTTTTTCTTTTTCTTTTTGCAGGACCACAAGATGAGGATGAGGCCACAGCAGCTGCAGCTGCTGCAGCAGCAGCCCTATCATTAGCAACAGAAAAAGGGAAGCAGGGTGATGGTGTTGTGGTGGAGATGGGGGCAGAACGGCCATACGTGTGTCGAGAGTACTCTCTGGCAGAGCTGGCCAAGGCCACGGGAGAGTGGGCAGAGGGGAACAAGATAGGATGTGGTGGTTTTGGAGATGTCTACAAGGGTGTGTCGCCTCATGATTGCAATCAAGCCTGGGCGGTCAAACGTGCTCGAGTGCTCACCAACGACTTCCAGAAAGAGGTATCATGTTGTGACTTTTTGCTGGAGAGTTAGCGCTCAATACATTCACTACTCTAAGTGTTTTTGTTTGTTGGATAATTCTTTTTTTTTTTTGTATCTGCTCACAATTTCCCTCTCAGGTGAAGGAGATGGCAAGCAAGCACCATCCGCATCTCGTGCGTCTGTTGGGCTATTGTATTGATTTGAATCTTTCAACTCGAATCATGGAGCAGATCCTCATTTACGAGCTCATGCCCAACAACGACCTTGAGAGATGGATTGGTCTTGATGTCTCCAACCCACTTTCGCTTCGCCAAAGGCTGGACGTTCTGATAGGAGTGGCAAAGGGATTGGAATATCTTCATGACTTCGGCATTGTACATCATGACATCAAGCCCGCCAACATTCTTCTTGATGCAAAAATGCAGGTATGTCAAAATACTTCTAAGACTCTTTACATATGGTGGACGTTCTGTACTCTTATCAACTACCAAGTGATATTTTGAGCATGCCTCTCATGTTGCAAATTAGTGCTGTTGTTATTGATGGCCAGGCCAAGATTGCGGATTTCGGACTTGTGAAGCTAAGTGGAGGCACCGCTTGGGGCACGAATGTAGCGGCCACTAGAGTGATGGGAACACCAGGCTATGTGGACCCTGCCTACTACAAGTCTCACAAGGCCACTCCAGCAGCAGATGTGCACAGGTGATAAAAATGGTGCAGGTCACGAGATCAGCGAAATATCAGTGCAGGCAAGAAGCACATTGACACGGAAAGTCCATTTCGGCAAGCATCTAGAGTAGATAAGAGAACTCCACCTGGAACACACAGTCCATGCGTCTCACTTAGGGGCAGTTTATGGCTTGCATTGATGGCAAGCCTAGGCATGGATGACCATCCAAGTGTTTGGTGATGCTCGGCTATCTAAGGTACGAAATTTGGACACATTCGCTTCTGAAAAAATCTAACTACCTGAAGTCTGTACCTTTGAGCATCCTTTCAAAAATGATTTCATTTGTTGCTTGGTTCGCAGTTTTGGCGTCGTGATGTTGGTGGTTATCACGGCGCGCAAGGCTGTGCATGTTACAGGGGACAACCAGATCAGTCTCAAGCAATGGGTGAGACACAGTGAACAATGGTATCCCAAGGCTAGCGGAGGTATTGCAACAGGACATATGCTAAAGCCAGATACATTGTGAGGTGGGTGAGGCAGTTCGCTTGTTAACGACGCTCTTCTAAGTTGTTCTTGCTGCACTTCGCCAAGTTGATATGCTCCTTACATCCTTTCCCAGCAGGACACTGGTTCCAATCAGCAGGAGAGGTGTACTATTGATAATTATTCAGCTTTTGCCTCCCCTCTTATATGTGACACAATTAACCTTCCAATCACTCCGCTTCTTGTCTTCCTGGCGCTTATTCATTGAACACATACAACCTCCCATGCGATCCATCCCCCTCTCTATTCTCATTTCTGTATTGCCTATACCCTTTGAGAAATCTTCACTTGATGTAACACTCGCTGATCTTTTCTAAGAGAATAATCCATGTGGCATATCAATACAACCTGGCAGGTGGCCCCATTGGTGGAATCAGATGCTGCAGCATCATTCAAAGACCCTCGTTTGGACGCGCCAGATGATTTGGTGCTGCGCTTGGCTCGTCTTGCCCTCTCCTGCACTACCATGCCTGCAGCCTCCCGCCCCTCCATGAGTGAAGTGCTGGGAGAACTGTTGAAGGTTAAGCAGGAAATTTTTGGAGCACAGGTGAGCGAGTCAATATCGCGCATTGACACGGAAGTTGGAAGATCTACTAGTGCCCCTTCCTTCACTGCTGAAATAGCTCGTGCAAAGCGCGCGGCGATGCCAAGTGGCTCTTCCACCAGGATATCGTAGACTTAGTTTTAACAAGCACCTTGTTCGTTTACGCCGCAAACTTGAAACCAATGGTTTTGGCAACATGGAAATCGTAATATGTGGGTTGGGAGCAACGAGGCCAAATGATAGACATTTCGAAAGGGATTTCAGTTCCATGCCATGGTCACAGCAGATGTGACGGGTTGTGAAGCGAACTACACTACACTTGAAGCAACATCTCTAGCACTAGCTTGTCCATGCGCTTGATTTGAATGACATGACTTTCTGTTTTTGGATTCTCTAGCTGTTGTATGCGTGATATCTACTATACAGCTAGACTAATTAAATCAAAATGTGTGGCTTTTCCACACAGGGCTAAGGTTCTTCATGTCATTTATGCACCATTTAAATATCTAGACATAGAACTAGTATATGAGCACAGTTATTGCTCCACAACCGCTCTTATGTAAGTCCCCTTGCAACTGACAAACCCCCAGGGTCCTCTCTATCACGCATTTTTGCATGTTATTCTGAAATATCACATGGGGTTCTTACGCTAATCTGATTTGTAAGAAATGCTTGAATATCTGATGGATCGTAAATGAAGTTAGGGCGTATCTTCAGTCCCGGTCATCCACTGTTTGGGGCATCCGAGATTCTTGGAAGACCAATCAGGTGCACTTTAGGTACACTACTCGAACACCATTGGTCCTCTCATGACCCAAAGTGTACTGATGACTCAAACAGTGCCTTATGACCCGAACCGAATATACGCCTTTAATGATCTGTTGGGTGAATAAGAAGTGTGTGTGGCTGGTTGCCTGAATTATCAGGCACTAGTATCAGTTCCGACTAAAACCAGAAAAGTATTCAGTCAGCTGTGTTGTCGCCCGAGTTACGGAAAATGCGTCAATCACGGCTCGATTTGTAAATCATGCACCCTGATTGACGTGACGGCGCAGTGGAGCGCACCGCCAGCAATCAAGAGTTGACAGACTGATGCAGATGGTGCTAAACGTCCCCACTTTACTTTCGGATGTCTGTGCTGCACCTCTACTTGCTATTGGTCAACTCTCGGCAGCAAAGAAAAAAAAGGATGGCAGCGCGTCGCGCGACTCGCACCGACGATGGTCCAATGTGACGTTGGACGAGGGTGGGATTGGGGTACCGCGGTGCGTGGCAAGCTCATGCACGCACTAGATTCAACAGTAGTATCCATGCAGGCTTCCCCACCTACTTCATCTATTCCTTCCAACACTAGCCCAACAATCTTCGCGGAGTTCTTTTTTTTCCCATGTTAACATCCTCCATCCAGGGCCCTGTTGCCATGGATAATGGTGGTCGTTTAGCTCCTCCTAATTCATCTCAGCGCCCATCTCCGCAGACTGCTTAGATTTCTCAAGAGGTCATATTACTCTCACCATGCAAGTATTAGACCCTTCCGAGCCGCACATGGTTCCGAAGAATGAACCTACAGCAAGTACTGAGCCATAGCCCGATGTTAATAAGCGGCGGACGCTCAGTGATCCCCCCGTGGACAAGTCGCCAAGTAGAAACACCGGGCGTGTCACAACACTCTTAGTCGGTGAAGTTTGATATGCAATTATTGCTCGATTCCCGAAGTTCGAGCGCTACATTTAGAGCACCATCCACTTTGTGCAAACTCGTGTGCCTCACGTATACTAGGGAAACATGCCTAGAAATGGCTAAGGACTAGATCCTAGAGAAGAGAGGCCTAGAAATGGCTAAGGACTAAGACTATGCCATCTCTCTCTCTCTCTCTCTCTCTCTCTCTCTCTCTCTCTCTCTCTCTCTCTCTCTCTCTCTCTCTCTCTCTCTCTCTCTCTCTCCCTCTCTCTCTCTCTCTCTCTCTCTCTCTCTCTCTCTCTCTCTCTCTCTCTCTCTCTCTCTCTCTCTCTAATGGTCCGTGTATTGATATAGCGAAAAGTACAAACATGCAAGTATGGAAAACGTGTCTAGGGATAAGCACATCAGATCTACAACTCCACTAGGGGCTCAATGACTGCGAAGCAGTCCCCAAGGTGCAACTCGTCCCCAATTCCCCCCACAGGCGGGTTCTCTACCGCTGCCGCCTCACCAAGCTTGAGCAGGAGGCCCACAGATTGGGCCCTTTGCAGCGCCACCGACCAGCGTTGCCTGAACTGGTGCAGGAACTTTGCAGCATAGAACGATTTGGAGTCGGCGTTGAAGTGGCGCCGAGCTGCAGTGTCCGCCAAGAGCTTCAGGAAGACTGGCACCTCCGCACAGGGGCAGCCGTAGGTGTCCACCGCCAAAGGGAAGAACTTCACAGTCTCTGGCAGGGTGGCGTAGTGCTGGATCTTCTTGTCCGCTTGCTCCCGTGCCGCCCAGCCCCTGCCCTTCCGCGCCTCAGGATCCCTAGTGCTAATAGGGTCGGTAATGGTGACATCGCACACATAGACCGCCCCACTGCTTCTGTCCGTCATCGTAAAGTCAGCTGTCTGCTCCTCAATGGGGCAGTGCACCGACGACTCGCTGTGAACAATGAACCCCGCGTCTTGGGCCATGCTAATGCACGCATCGCGCAGCTCGTTGTGGGTGTTGATGCGATGCTTGCCCGTGCCGCAGCGGAGTAGGTGGTTAGGGAGGCGGGGGTCCGTGATGGCGGTGTGGTCGGCGCAGTCACAGTTCTTTGGCGTGGAGAAGGGGAGGGCCAGCCGGAAACGCACGGCATTAGAGAAGTGAGTGGGCCCTATCCTTCTGTTGGCCGCAATGGGGATAGCAGTCAGCCAATCCCCGGTCCCATAACCAGTCAGGGAGTACATCCGCTGGGTGTGGCCGCACAGGGGGTTCAGCGCCATCCGTCGTGTCTCCCTGACCTGTACGGCATATCTGCTCCCATGTACCCTCAGCGCCAATGCGTGCTGTAGCCTGGTGTCTGATCGCTCCAGCCGCTCTTTCTCCAGGATTTCCCGTGCGTCGTCCGGTAACGCCGCCTCGCACTCCGATAACCATGCGTGGAGAGGCGTGGCAGCGTCTGCAGGCAGCAGCATGTGGTCCCGAGCCTGCGTCAGCGCGCCGTCAGCGGCGCCGTCTAGTGATCACAGGAAAAGCGCGGCCTGTGTGAAGCTCGCTGCGTACCCATACACTCCCTCGATTAGCGGGTCAGTAATGCCTATCTCCCCCAGAGACGGCGGCAGTGAGGCCTGCGCCCAGACGCGTGCTTGTTCCGTGCGGCATGTGGGGACGCGGATGCTGCATGCTGTGAGCAGAGCTGCAAGCAGATCGGTCCCCCACTGACTCTAGGTGTCGCGAGGCAGAAGGTGGAGTGGTGTCGTTCTGGTAAGGTATGCCACCCGCCTTGAGATACAGCGGGTGAGCAGTAACGAAGCTACCTGGGGGTCGGCTTTCTGAAGGAGTGGCAGAGGCTTTGCCATTTCCCGTAGCTGACCCGCCAGGAACTGTGACGCTCCACTGTCGGGACCCACAAAGCTTCCGAGCAAACGCACACCGTCCTGGGAGAATGGGACGCCCTGAGGCAGCTGAGCCGTCACCGCTACCTCCCTGCTCCAGGCCGCGCATTTCTGCGCATTGTGTCTCAGCCCCAGGTGCGCCAGCCTCTCGGTGAAGTGGTTGAATGCGGCTACAGTGTCCGCCGCCTCCCCCAGGAAAGTGACATCGTCGGCATAGGCCAGACAAAGCACTTGGGGATATGCCTCAGCAGTGTCACGGAGTGCCGTGTGCATTCCCGCGGCAAACAGTAGAGGGCCAAGTGGGTCCCCTTGACGCACGCCCCGTTCGCTGATCAGCGGATCACTTTCAAAATTTGCGTCGAGATGCAACTTTGACGGGTTACCGTACGTCAGTTTCACTAGCG